TCCTTCTCTCTTCTCTCTTTCAGGATAGTGGCTGCCTTTGCCTCCTCTTCTGCGGTATAAGGGGCGGTACTCTTTCCGGTGCGCGTCTCAACCATGGTGATCGGGGCACAACCAAGTAATGGTTCCTCTCCTCACCACTTAGACGTCTACCCCCTGACTGACTTAACTGACCGACTCTCTACGGACCACAGAATCCTACCCTTCGTTCCAGCCAAGTTACCACGGTCGACGGAAGCTTTCGCAACCACAATCCTTGCAATCCAGACCCATATGCCCAGCACCTGCGGTCAAACCCACCTGGCTTTCACTCCGGTTCAGACCCTGTCAACTAGGGGCACTAGCCTAGACTCAAACTACAGCCGTCACTACAAAACCTGTTGCTGATTAGGAGGCATTTAAGGAGATCCCTCGTAACTCCTCAAGAATTCTTTAACGTCGCAGACAGGACGACGTGATCAGCAGGTTCTCTCAAAACGTAGACGGCCCGTTGTGCAGCCCACAGCTCAGATTTCAGGCCTACTATGCCACACCGAGCAGCCCGCCGGTCAGTACCGGTCCTTGGGAGGGTTAGGCCTCCGGGACAGTCGAGTCGTCAGACACAGATCATCAGCCTTACAAGGTCCGGTAGGGGAGTGGCTCAACCAGGCCTCAATACTTAACGACGGCCTTCGTTTCAGCCCACAGCTCAGATTTCAGGCCTACTATGCCACACCGAGCAGCCCGCCGGTCAGTACCGGTCCTTGGGAGGGTTAGGCCTCCGGGACAGTCGAGTCGTCAGACAGTCTTTGGCCCTACTCTGCCGGCAGGGGTTTGGTCAACGAAGCCCTACCTTCATACACAGAGTCCTATCACCTGGACAAGAGAGACTCAATGCAGAAAGAAGAGACAGACAGACTCAGACTCAGCAAGTACCATAGGGTGAGTGCACATCCATAGGGCGAGGGGGTAGGCTGAGGGCTCAGCGAGATTATACCAACTCCAGCTTGGTCAAAATCATGGTCAGCAGCTCCGATCAACGCCTTGGTCAATGCTTGGTCAACGTGGTCAAACCCCGGTCAACGCTCCGGTCAACCCTCCGGTCAACGCCCGGTCAACCCTTAAATCGGCTATGGCTGCCGGCACCTTCTTCCTCGCCAATCTCCCTTCTCTTTCTCCTCCTTCACCCTTCTTCTTTCTTGCTGTTTCTCTTCTTTTTTTTTTTTGTACACCCCCGGCTATGTCTGTCTTCACCTTCGTTTCCCTTTCTTCCTCCTTCCTGCTTCTCTCCCCTCTCTCCTCCATGTTCCGAGCTCTGCGGCGATGGCCGCTACTTGTTAGTGGACCGCACAACCAATCTTCAGCGCAGCAGGTATGTGGTA